TACCTACCTACCTACCTACCTACCTACCTACCTACCTACCTACCTACCTACCTACATTGCTCTATGTTGGGTTTTGTGTGTCCGTGTAGCTATCTGCGGCGGAGAGATCACCAGAGAGGAAGGGTTCCTCACCTCCCCCAACTACCCAGATGACTACCGGCCCGACAAGGTCTGTGTGTGGAAAATCACCGTGGGGCCAGACTTCACCGTGGCCCTCAAGTTCCAGTCTTTCGAGGTAGGTTTCTTCCCCTGACAATGGCGTCTCTTTTTCTCTGTATGTGTATTACGCGCTCGCAACTGCATACGGTCATATGAGCACGCGGGACACTTTAAACATTTTCAATTGGTTGGAAATTTTGAATTTTGCCCAAGTGGTGGCCAAGCCTACCCTTATCGATTTTGGACCACCAAGGGATCTTTAACGTGTGCAACTTCCATACGGGACGTCTTCAATTTTTCGCTTTTATCCGAGAAGGCTAGGTGATAGAACTTACCTACCATAAGATCAGAGGTGTGGCTGAAAGACAGCAGTAAGAATTAGCCAAGGATTAGCATTAGAAAGGCTGCAGTAAGAGTCAGGAGCCCAGTGGATGGGACAAAGGAGGTGAGGGGTGGGGGCAGAAAGTGAAGTCAAAGCATACGACAGAACATTGTTAGAGAGCAGGAAAGGAGGGGAAATAACATTTCAGAAAAGAAAATTGACCGTCACTATCCCGATTCAAACCTGGGACCTACTAAATGAGAGGCGAACACAGTGACCTCTCGACCACGAGAGCTCCCTCAGTGGTGTCTCAGGTGTTAAAACGCTAGGGTCTGATGTATTTGTATGTGTGTTCACCTGCAAGTCTGTCAACCGTGGGTGGTTGGCGGGTGTTCTGGTGTGGTTTGCTCCTTGTTTCCTATCAAATATCTATCGTCCTTAGCTCTCCTTCTTCTTATTTATGTTTGTTACTCTCTTGTAACACCTCTAATCTTCTGGCGCTCATATGACCTTATGAAGTTGCGAGCGCCGTAAAACCTCTACTAAAACTAAACTAAGTCTGTCAACCTGTCTGTCTGTGTGTTTGTATGTGAATGAAAATAACTTTTAGTGTTGGTGTCTGTACGTTCTCATCGACACAATTTAGATCATTTTGCATTAAGGCCTTGACTCTGCCTGTCAGGGCCAGCTCGGGCAAAGAGGGATACAACGACCTAGCAGAAAAACCCACAGTTGAATTTCTCTCTTTTAAGAAATAGACAGAACAGACAGACAGACAGACAGACAGACAGACAGACAGACAGACAGACAGACAGACA